TTTCGAAACTGCTACCATGTTTTGATTCCATAAACTTCTGAAAGGGTCAAACGGTCACGTTGGAATTGATTGTTTGCTGGCATATGATGCATCTAGATGATATTTAGATCTCAACTTGTTCTTGTTCTCTATCTAAATGAACGAGAACATATATATATATATAGACCGATTTTACAACGTATACGAAAAAAATGGGGTATCAAAATCGGCTTCTACTTTTTGAGGGAAGAATATACAAGGAGGGCGGGATGTTTGCTGTTTGCTTGAGCAGATGACCATCAAAGAAGGGTGGTAAAAGAGTGGGAAGCCGATACGATACTGTGCTACAATGTACTCTTGTACCCATCGCAGTACGCTGACTTGCGCGCGGCGCCCTCTTCTTCCTGATACCCATAGTGATACCTCTTTAGTAACAATCCACAAAAGCTACTTCCTCTTACACACTAGCTAGCACACAGCTACAGTCTCATCAAGTATCAAGCGAGACGAGAGGAGACGAGTGGATTACCACCAGTCACCCTGGTCTCGCATGGCATCGGCGACCTTGATGAAACCAGCAATGTTGGCACCGGCGACCAACGAGGGGATGACACTGCCCTCGGCGAACTCGGTACCGGTGGTCCAACAGGTCTGGTAACAGTTGACCATGATGTCTTTGAGCTTGGCGTCGACTTCCTCGGGGGTCCACTTGAGTCGCTGAGAGTTCTGGGCCATCTCGAGACCTGATACGGCGACACCACCGGCGTTGGCGGCCTTTCCGGGAGCGTAGAATACGATACCCTCGGTGTTGTTCTTTGACTTGACCGACTTTCGAGAGTTCTCAAAGACCTCGATGGCGTCAAGGGTACAACCCATGTTGGAGCCCTCGGCAACGTATCGGACACCGGCCTCGAGAAGAGCCTTGGCCTCCTCGCCGTTGATCTCGTTTTGGGAAGCGGAAGGGAGGGCGACGTCGGCCTTCTCGACCAAGGTCCAGGGTCGCTCGCCGGCAACCCACTTGAACCTGCTTCCGGCGTCCCAGGCGGTCAAGCTCTTTCGAGCGAGCTTGACATCGGCGATAGCAAGGATGTCCTCCTTGGTGAATCCCTCGTCGCCAGTAGCGATCAATGAACCGGTAGAGTCGGAAAGGGTGAGAACCTTACCGCCGAGCTCGAGAACCTTGATGGCGGCGTATTGGGCAACGTTACCGGCACCAGAGATCAATACTCGCTTGCCCTTCCAGTCGGTGTTGTCGAGGTCCCTCAACATCTCAGTGACAAAGTAGACGAGACCGTAACTATGAACAAGAGATCAGCTGCGGTCCCCAAATTTAGGCCATACACATCTTGTGATCTTTGACTCACCCAGTGGCCTCGGGTCGGATGTTGGAACCACCCCAGTTTCCGCCCTTTCCGGTGAGGATACCGGCAAACTCGTTCCTGTACTTCTTGTAAGCACCGAACATGAAACCGATCTCTCGTCCACCGGTACCAATGTCACCGGCGGGAACGTCGAGGTCGGCACCGATGTGTCGGGAAAGCTCTTGCATGAAGGAGTAGCACTGGAAATGGAAGAGGGGGCTCAGCAAATGTCTTTGGGCAAAAAACCAAATGCCCGGGGGGCGCTGTGGTATGGATTGTTCGTTCAAAGTGATTGATTGACACTCACGAATCGCCTGATCTCGCTGTCTGACTTGCCCTTGGGGTCAAAGTCGGAACCACCCTTACCACCACCCATCATCAAACCGGTAAGGGCGTTCTTGAAGACCTGCTCGAAACCGAGGCTGAAAAGTAGGTACCAAATATCAGCCCTTGCTACCAATGACATCATAGGTATATACCCGTTTTATACACTTACAACTTGAGAATGGAAAGGTTGACAGTGGGGTGAAGTCGGAGACCTCCCTTGTAAGGACCGAGAGCAGAGTTGAACTAAAAGAATGGAAATGGTAATCAGCACAAACTTCTTTCCCCTCACTTGCTTAGAAGATGCTTTGAAGCCTTGGATGTTTCCACTACTCACCTGGCATCGGAAACCCCTGTTAACGGCCAAGGTTCCATCATCTCGCTCCCAGGTGACTCGGAATTGGATGACTCGCTCAGGAATCTGGACGACGTCAAGAGCTCGTCGGTACTCGGGGTTCTTGGCAAGGAACTGTGTGATCGAAAGCGGGCAATTAGTGGCTGTACAACGATAGATCACGCAAACGGTGGGATTTTACTCACAGGCTCAAGAGTCTGGGTGATCTCAGCAACGGCCTGTGGAGTCAAGTCGCACGATCGAAAGGTTAGCGACCTGTACGCTCATACCGTGATAATACACAGATACACAGACACACGGTGACTCACCTGCTGGAATTCGGGCTCGACGGGAAGGTTGGACATTGTGAATGATTGATATACGGTGATGAGAGTGATAAAATGAGAGAGAGCGCAGGGGGAACTCTAGGCAGTTCTAAGATTCTAAAAAGATATAACTTGTATGTTTCTGAGAAGAAGAAAGAGAAGGAGAAGGAAAATCGACAATAGATCTAGCTAGACAGCTCTATATACCTTGGACTGGACCCACCCATTAACTCCACCGTCCGTCTCACTCTTTTTTTCCAACAGCATGTAAAGAGTACATACCATACAAGCCTTACGGTGGTAAGCCAATAATGTTTCTTTCCCCGCCCGCGTTCCGGTCACTGAGCCGATTGTATGTATGTGTGACACTCACCAATACTCCTCTCGCTCTTGTCCGGAGTCCGGCCAGTTGTTCCTGTTCTTTCCTTCCTACCAACCAACCAACCAACCAGATGCAAGCTTGTGATCGATATTACTGTTAATAGCATCTCCCCCTCACTCGGTCGATTTCGTCCGAAATTCCAAAATATCAACTTTGTCGAATCAGAATGCACCATCTCATCGATCTCCCTCCACTCTCCACGCGGATGACCGGGTCCCAACCCTGAATTCCTTGGTATCCCTGAATTGCCCCCTCCTATAAACTCGCCTATAGGCTGATCAAATAATCAAATAACATCATACACCCAGCATTTTTACGGCGTTTCTCCAATCCTCGGTAAAACCTAGACGATAAGACACTTTAATCTGATTGGTTAACCCTTACTTCCGCTCAGGCCCGGTCAGTCCCGCGTCAGCGTCAGATAGAGATAAGCCCCTGCCACGTTTATTTACTACCGATGTATATGTATATATATATCTTAAATTGGTTCGCCAATTGTGAGTGAGTCGTTACCCGAATCCAGCGGCTTTTGTTCTGGCAAGCTGTTGGGTAGCTACAAACTCACAACTGACATAAACGAAGCTGGGTCTCGCCCGCAAAACCGGTCCGGACTTGCTGGGATGTTACAGGTCGGCCAACTGCGGACATGCATCTGTTAAACGAGGATCCAGCACGGTACTGATCGCCTTGTCAGCCTGAAAGACTGATCCAAACTGAAACTGATAGGAATGGTGATCATGGATGGTGGTCCATCGATGTTTGTTGGCTGTTACCTCTTTCTCAATCACAATGACGGATGAGGGGATAGGTGATAGCGAGAGTTGACGAATTTCTCATTCGTTGATCACTCGAACAATCATGGTTCAAGAGACATGGGAATCAATGTGGCTTACTTACTCTCTCCGCTCCGCTTTTCTTCTTGTCTCGTCTCTTGGTGCTTAAGGGAGGTCCGTGTCAATTGTGTCAACGTTTTTTTTTTTTTTGTATCAATCGATGGGACTCCTAATCAGGTGATCATGATAATCATTAAAGAGACCTCGCGAGGTTGATTTATTCATCTGAACATCAATCACCTTACAACCAAGGTCCGTTTCTCCAGTTGACCGATCATGTCCATGAGCAGAACACGACGATCAGCCCAGGGCTAAATTTCAGTCCAGCTGACGAGACGCAAAGTCTCTCGTATTTTATGATTGATAGCCGTTGACCACCAGTCCTGGACCTGTCAGATGCGTCGATCCAAGTCGTCGCATCAAGACTTGGAGTTGCAGCTCATCACGCAGTCTAAGTATTGCCTCGCATCTCTTCAGCCTTGACCATCACAACCCTTTGACTTGGTCTTCTAATATCATCCTTAGTGACAACCAAGTTTCCTTGCGCGTCATCCATCAACACAGTCCCTAACGCCAAAAGCTGCGGCTGACAATCCGCTGAAGCGTCCCATCTCATGGCGGAATATCAAAAGTCTTCGCACATCACTCACGGCCCGATCGACCTTGACGCACAAAGTTCACCTTGGGACGGATCGTCCAGGAACAAGGCGACAACAATCTTGATTGTGACCGGACCTCTCGATCGATTGGGTCATCGCGGAGAAAAAATAGGTGGTGGAATCGCTGCAGAGACGCGGACGACTCCGAGAATTTGATGGTTTGACAGCAAGGCAGTACTCGTAAGGGACTGACGAGAGCCGACGACGAATGAAGAAGCTTCGAGGTGTACGCAAGGATTAAGGCAGGGTAAGAGACGACAGCGGAGAAGGGATGATATAGTAGGCGAGACCTGATAGCTGGCAGGGGACTTGCACGAGGTGATTCTAAACTGCGGACCCACGATTGAAGACGACGAGCAAAAAGTCCGAGAGGGTATCAGTAATCAACGATAAGAAAGCGAAGACGAGGGTGAGGCTCATAGCAGTCGACGGTCAACATCGGAGCAGGTGAAATGACTCAAGCTCGGCCTATGGGCGTCCCGTATCAGTCTTTCTATGTACCACCGAGGCTCTCAAAGAGGGGCCAAGTGTCGGAAGAAAGCCTTGCAACCGCTTATCGGTGCTGTCAACGTACTCATATAGTACGTCAGATGGCCAAAGGGACGCGGCCATCTCTCCAGGGCGATGAGGGTTGAATCTTCCTCCTCACCTTCTAGCCTGAGCTTTCCCTTGCGAACGTGTGAAAATGTGATGATTTCTCTGCTCTGTCAGAACCATGCCGCCATGGCGGAATACTATGGTGACAGGGGGTGCTGATACGTATATAATATAGTTTGAAAGCGGGTTTTTATCAAATCACCAAGCCCGTGTGGCGAAATTGGTCATCGCACCCGACTCTTATGGACTGACAACAGCTGGTCTATCGGGCGATTGCGGGTTCGAGTCCCGCCATGGGCTTCTCTTTTTTCTCTCTCTGGTAGAGCGTATGGCCGGCAATCGGCTGTCACAACAACAGCTGTTGGGCAGCGCAAATCACGCGTCATGCATATGAAACGGCGACATTTTTGGTTTTTGATTTTGATTTTGCTTTTTGGATTGAGAAAGTCGTTGACGTTTCAATTCCACTTACAGCATGATACGTGGACAACAATGACCTCTCGAGAGGACGTTTCAGCGACGACGACACTGGACATACCCAATCAATCAAGCTCGACATGGTACCTGCGTCATCTCGATACGCATATCCGTGCATCTCGCGACCATGTCCTGGGTGAAACCTACGGCGTGCGATACCAATACCAATCCTCTTTCCGAGATACGGTCGTCCCTCCCTCCAATGCCATTTGGACTCCCGAAGAAAAGTCTTTGTTCTTCGCTTCACTTCGAAGACATTCTAGGTTGAGAGCGGATCTGATCTCTGGTGAAGTGGGGAGTAAGACTGAGATTGAAGTGGAATGGTATCTGGATTTACTGGAGTCAGGTGCGAGCCAAATTGGACAAGTGGATGCTAAGTTGGTCAATGGGAAACAGAGAGCTAGATGGGATGGGAGCCGATCGTGGAGAGAGGGATTGGCGCCTGCTTGTAGGGAAGTATCGAAGGGGTGGATCGATCAGGAAGAAAAGCTGGCAGAGGGTGTGATGAGAGTTGTCGATAGAAAAGATAAGCAGGATCACCAGGAGATCAAACGGACAGCAAGGCGCTCGGAACGAAGAGCGTTGAACAAGGTCATCCCTCTGGACCCAAATTTCACGTCTCATCAGCGTACGAAATATCTCAACGAACATCCAAGTACTATTGCAATGTTTAATCGCTGGGCTGTCGAAGATTGGGGCGAAAGTATCGATGCCGAAAAGTTATCGACGTTGAATCGACTCATGAGACCAGATTGGTGCGATTGGTATTCCGAGCGAGTCCGCATTCCGTCCCCGCCCATCCCATTCCTCAATGCCGGCGGTGAAGCATCCGACAACGACAACGACAACGAAACTTCAGTCAGCCCGACAAAGGGAGATCCACAAGGCAAAATAGCAAATGATCTCCGGAATTTCCAATACCTATCTTCCATACCGAAATCTGAACGTTCGCCGGCCCAACGTCGAGATTTAGCAGCCATCGTCAACCGTCGTAGGAACCGCGAGAAATACAGGCTTGCCAAGCTACTGGAAGAGGGTATGACGAAAGAGGAGATTGAGAAAGCTGGAGGGGCCGACGCTGTCTTTGCATCCAGAGATGAAGGGGCAGCAGGCGGCGGCTCGGGCGAGTATCAGAGAAGGGTGGGAATGAGTAGAGCGGAGAGTATAGAAGAAGGGTCGGTGAATCAATTGAAAAAGTTGGGGATGTACGATTATCTCATGCTTAGCGGGATGGAGGTATTCAACTATGAGAAGATGGCCAGGCTGATTAGGTGAGCTAGCAATACGTCGATCCGATATGTGGTATCACCGGAACACGTTGACGAGCTGATGAAATTGTTGGACCTGTCTGTGTTTTCGTTCCGATGCAGCCAACTCGCACCGACCTCCTCTGCATCTGCTTCGCCGAATATATCGTTCCCCGTCCTCCGCAAGATCCACGCAGAACTAGTCAAATACCTCCAACGATTAATGTACAACGCTATCGTCATAGCCGAGCAAGCTTACCACCAACGTCCGGCAGAAGAGGAAGATCATGAAGAAGGGGAAATGACATCGGAACATGTTTATCAGGCTCTGATATTGGCTGGGAATGGTCATCCGATTGAAGCTGTCAACGAGGCTCTAGAGCGCATATTCCGGCATGCCGAGGAAGGATCAGAAGTTCATGGCATAGACGCGGATGGTAATCAGGAAGAAGCAAGGCAGAGCGAGTCAAACCCGCTGCCTAATGATGAGTCCGGGAATGGGGATTCGAGCAATCGGAGTGACATTCCGCTCGCTAAACCATCCAACCTCCGCCGTCCGCGCTATGCGACTCATCTTGTCTCACAAAGCAATCAACCATGGCACCTCCTCCCGTCTCTCCCTCCACCCGAGCTCGACTTCTCCACTTCCGGTAATCTCACTGCTGAAAGGCAAGTCGAGACGGACAGCCAAGCCGAGCTTGAGCCAGAGGCAGAGATCGAAATCGACTTCTCGGCACTGAGCGATGCAGCTACAGAGCAAGAAGATAACGATCTTGACCGAGCGCTGGAATTGATGGATAAGCAGCATGATAAGCTGTGCGAGACAGCGTTGAAGAGCGCCGCGACACGTAAACGGAAACGCAGTCCGCCAGATGACGGAGAGGACGAGGAGGATGAGCAGGAGCCGGGGGATGGGGTGAATGATGGTGGAGATGTTTGGACTTCGGTGACTGTACAGCGGATCAATGGGAAGACCGTCCGGCCCAGATCTAAACTTGAACAAGGTACGGTTTGGTCTCACCCGCTCTCCTTCAAAAACTACTTGGCTAAGCGGTAGATAATTCGCTGACTCTTTCTGTGTGCACGACTCGTGTACTGTAGACTACCTCGACCTTCTCTTCTCAGTCGACAATGCACGTCGAAAACGCCAATTTGTCCAGCGTCGCGAAACTCGATACCCCACTACGAGGCTCCGGAAGAAAGCGAGGGAATATAAGGGTATCAAATCTGCTGCGTTTGTCATTGATTCCGATACGGACGAAGATTCGGATGACGAGAATACGTATTTGCCCGCGGATGATGAGGGTGGTCTGGATGAGGATGATGATGATGAGGGAGGAGAAGATGATCAGAGCGACTCTGGGTCGGAGGACCGTCAGGTCGATGGTGCGGATATGGATGAAGATGGCGAGGTCGCCAAAGAAGGAGATGATGACGGAGATGATCAGAGCGAACAAGACGTCGGCAGTGCAGAAGAGGATTCTGACTAGATCGCGCGGTATACTCTCGCATCTTGCATCTTAATATACATACCGTGTATATCCGAAGCACGACCACCTAAATGTACATACTCAACTACAAGAACATAGATAATGAACACAAATAATGAACACAACGTAATTTACAAACCAGTGAACACCTCATGAACCCGATCACAAGATGAATCCACATTGCTTAGTACCCGTCCAAACCTGTGCTCGCATCGTTCTCACCGACCACACCACCCTGCAATTGTCCCTTGAACCTCGTCCTGACGCCCATCCTGATCCTCTCCTCCCATTCTCTGAACCATTGCCCTTCTTTCCTGCCGACAAGATAATGAACGCCCTTGAGTCCGTACTGCAGTGTCGGGTTCTCCGGAAGCTCGGGGTGCAGCTTGTACAAGCTTGGAAGTCTATCTTGAGCAGACAATACATCTTCGCTTGGGAATGTCGATGGGAAAGGCGGGTAACATTTCATGCCGTCTACAAGTAGAAAATGAGACAGCTCTCGAGTTAGTATTGGTCGACCAGGGAGAGCATCATGCCGATACTTACAGCTTGCTAAAGCCACCTGGTACGGGGCGCCCGCTTTCGGGATCATATGCTTCAAGATCCAGATGAGCGGATAGATTAGACTGACCCAAGAGAGGAAATAGATGAAGGGCTAAACATATCAAAGTCAGTCAGCTCTTGAGCCCGATGGCTGCGGATACGGAGAAGGATCACGACTGACATTTCCGATAGCTCGGGTCCATATGTTGGATGGTCTAACGATGACAGTAGTTGGCTCGACGTCCAAAGCCACGTTGACGAAGTTGGACTGATAGCCGGTTGAGAGGATCGCTCCAGAGATAGCTGCAATGTCAATGTCAGCGACTCTTCTTTGGTTGACAAACAAAAGGGAATATTGACATACCCGATGTGAGACCTTGGATATCCCAGCCATAGATTCCCTTCTGAAGCCAGAATTCTTTGAGTGGTCCCCTGTCCGCGCAGAACTTCTCACACCAATCCCTCAATTCCGGCCTCGCAGCCGGCGGTTGTTCCGGCGCTCGCTCGCCCCTCTCCAGATCAGCACCTTGTACGTCTTCAGCACCAAGCTGCAAAGCCGCTTTGCCCTTGTGCCTCGATTCCCAAAATTCGGGATTATCCTGCATCTTGATCCAACCTGGAATACCTTTTTTCATACGGAACACATTCCATGCGTCCCTGTCGCTTCTTTCGCCGAAAGTCGCGGCTCGACCGACGTCCGTCGGGCCATATCCACCAACGAGCGATTGATAGCCTGCGTGACGATGTCGGTGGTGGTCTTGAGTGGTGGCGGGCGCAAAGGTTGCGCCGTATCGTGCAAGGTGAGTACCCCTGTGGGCGGCAATGTCGGGCGGGACAGCTCGGAGTTGGATATGAGTGATATTGGACGGGTGGTCGATAATGTCAGATAAGTCAATCTAGAAGCGAAAAGGGCTTTAGTCCTTGTATCTGTAGTTGAAGCATGGGAAAAAAAGCTCACGGTGAAGTCAAAGTCAATGACCGTGCGGGTTTCACCTCGGTTCTTGTGCACGTTCACACCGTTCTCCATGACTATACCTGACTGTTCGACAGTCTCAGTATGCATGCCCTTGCAGACGATCTTGACATTCGGAGGCGTCATCGCCTGTGCTCTGATGAAGTCGTAGAGCACAGCCGCTATAGTGTGTATATCACGCATTAGCTGATATCCATGCCACGGCTTTGCTGCTGAAAGAGTGGAGCCGAACATACGGTCAGATAGCTTTGCATCCCAACTTTCAACGATTTTGCCCTTCTGTCTCCACTGAACAGCTTTGATCTGTTCAGGCGGGACATAATTCCTACCCAAAAGCGGCTCAGCGTTTGGTGGACCAGTGAAGAGATGAGCGATATGATCTGGGACGGTTCGGTCGACTGGAGGCTGTGCGCCCGACGGACCAGCACCGGAGGTCGAGCCTGAGCCTGAGGCGGTCGCGAGAGCCGAGTCGTATGATGGTGGGGGTAAGTCCAGGTCGTCGTGCGAGGACGAGGGAGGTAATGGGGTTTTGGAGTCTTGAGCCATCTTCGCTCCGTATCTCGTCCCTAT